CCTCTCGTTTGGGCAGGTGTTAGCCCCGAGGGTTTGGCCGGGGGAGGCGTGGGCTGCTCCTGCTCCTGAGCTGGGTGCTGGGGCTGCTCCTCACTGCCAGGGCACGGCTCTGGAGCAGCTCCTCCTTCCCAGCCTGTGCCTCTGTCCCTGCTGCAAGGCTCCAGGAGCAGTCCTGGGCATGCAGAGCTGCTGTTCCTCTGGAGGAACCCCTCGGGCAGAGGCTGGCGTGGCCTGGAGCCCCTGTCCAGCAGGGCAGGGGGGGACATGTCCTTGTGCCACCTGGAGCCCGAGGAGCTGCAGGGGAGGCACTGGGGTGAGCTCCTCCCTGCAGCTCTGGCACTGCTCTCCTTTGTAACAGGGATATTCCTGTAGGAATGACAGAATTCCTGTGGGAATTACAGAAATATTCCTATAGGAATTACAAAATTCCTAACAGAAATTGTAACAGAAATATTCTTGTAGGAACGACAGAAATTCCTATGGGAATTACAGAAATATTCCTGTAGGAATGAAAAATTCCTAACAGAAATATTCCTGTAGGAATGACAGAAATTCCTGTAGGAATTACAAACTTCCTAACAGAAATATTCCTGTAGGAATTACAAAAAGCTGCCTCCAGTTCACATCCTGACACCTTCCCAGCAGGAGCCCAGACAGAGCTTCTGGACCCTCCAGGGGCCATCAGGATCCCTGTTAATTAACAGAATAAAGAGTGAGACAGCTGGAACATGGAGGAGCAGGTTGGTTTGACCCCTTGGAGAAGTTTGTCCTTTTGGAGTTTTTAGTGCTTACAGGAAGCTCTGCCAATAAGAGATTAAATGTCCTCAGTTGAGTTGGGATGGTGTGGGGAGGAATTTGGTGTTTGCTCGGCGTGCAGAGCCCATCAGAGCAGGAGGGCTGGTGTCCCAGCCCTGTGGAGCCCTGGGCACTGCTGGGGTTTGGGCCGAGCTGAAGGAGGAGAAGCCCAGGAGGGCACTCCTGTGTTGCCTTTGGCCCAGGGGCTGCAGAAACCTGCCACAGCTGCAGCCAGGGAGACAAATTAGGATTCCTGCTTTGTGGTTTTTACTGCATTTTTTCTCTTTTCACTCTGCCCTGACGTTAGAGCTGGCACATGCTGCTGGGTTCTTCAGGTTTCTGATGTACTTACATTAGCTGCAATCTTCATTTCACAGCCCTGGCACTTGGAACAATGCTTTGCTTTCTTGTTAGCGTGCAATTACGGGGTTTGGACATATAGGGGTTGGCATTCCCTGTATGATTCATTTCTTTGGTATCCAGCTCTTCTCTGAGGCACCAGAGACCTGAGGGAGGGAGGGGAAGCCTCCAGCCTCACTGTAATTGGGGTTGTGTGGGGATTTTAGCTCTCTGTGTTTTCTTAAGGCTGACTGGAGTGTCCCATGACTCAGTGGGGCAGGCCATGGAGGTGCATTACTCATTGATAAATGCTATTGAGTGATCCATACACTCCAATCCAGGGAAAATCCCAACAATGCTAAGGAAACGTTTGGTCAGCAGCAGCGCTCTGCTGAGCTGATCAAACCCCAGCTCTCTTTCTCTCTTCCAGTGGCCACCTCTGCTTGGCTTTTGGGTTTCTCACTCCACAGACAGAACGGGTGCAGGTCAAAGACGGAGTTGCCAAAACCAAACGTGGCTTTTTATGCATTTTGAAGAAAACAAGTGGAAAAAAAACCCCCAATGAATTAGTGTGAAGTCACGTATGCAGAACTCTAAAACCTGTTCCACTTCATGGCAAGAGACGGTCATCCTTCCCAAGGAATTCCTTGAGTTAAGGAGAGGGATTTAAAAAAGAAAAAACCAGCCTGGCAGAGGGAGGTGAGGAGACCTGGAAGTGCCTCTGCCTTCCTGCAGGGACTTCCCGTGGGGAATGCTGGGCTGCCTCAGCTCCTGGTCAGCCCCAGAACCTCCTGCCTGCCTGGTGGCTGGATGGATGGATGGATGGACGATGGATGATGGATGGATGATGGATGATGGATGGATGGATGGATGGATGTTCCTCTTCTAGGGAATCTTCTGGGCTGGACTTCTGGTTCAGCTGGGAGTGGGGTCAGAACTTCCTTGTGCTTCCTCCCCATTCCAGCTGCTCAGATCTCCAGGTCCTGCTGTGAGCCCTCCAGAATTCCCCAGGTCCCAGCTGAGACATCAAAGGGCTGGGTGCTCGTTGGGCTGTGGGCTGTGTGTTGGGTGAAGTGCCCTGCTCCCCTGGAGCCTGACTGTGTCACAAAACATGTTTGTTTATATATACATATATATATATATATATATGTATATGGAGAAATGCTTCTTGCAGGATGTCCAGGGCAGCCCTTGGCTTCAGCAGTGAGTCCTGGCAGGGGGATGGGAAAGGAGAGGCTCTACACAGAATCCCAACTGCAGTGCCTTGGGCTTTGAAATGATGACAGAAAATTTCCCTGCTCACATTTGTTCTCGTTTAGCTACAGCTTGTTCACCAGGATGTTTTTCAAGGAGGGTCTGGTCAGTGCTGGCAGAGGAAAGTCTCCAATTTCCCAAGCATGCTTATCACTTTGTCCTTGACAACGATGGGAACTTGCAGCACTTTTTTTGGTGGAGAGGCAAACATGAGCAGTCCTGCCCTTGCAGGCAGCATTGTCCTGCTCTTCCTGTGTGCTGAATCACGCAGGACAGATAAAGTTTCCCCAAAATATTGTTGGCTTTGCAGATGTCAGACCTGGGAAAGTTGGGTGGAAGGGGGAGGAGAGTGAATATCTGAGCTGCAAACTGAGCAAACCTTGCAGCTCAAACAAATGCCTCCCATCCCCTGGGAGAATGTGTGTTGGTGTAGGATGGACAACACTGAGTGCAGCAGTATTGATGAACAATAAGTTCAGAAATCAGGAGGGTTTGTGTCTGGCACAGAGCAGGTTGGGGGGTGCATGGGTCAATGCAGAGGGTAAAACCCAGGGGAGGGTGGAGCTTTTCCCTCTGCCCTCCCTTCCTGGGGATTCAGGGGTGGTTTGGGCTGCAGGACAGGCATCAGGAGTTCATGCTTGAGGAAAGCTGTGTGTCTTCAAAGTCCAGGGGTTTTTAGATGCTGATATCATTTTCCATAGGGGTTCACAGGAGATGACAGAGTGTTAGTGGAGCAGATGGAAACATGCACTGCAGGATGGTGCTTAAATGTCTCAGCTCTCCGGGAGAGCAAAACCTCCGTGCTCCATGTGCCTGGGACACTTCCTATGTGCTGCAGAACTCTGATAATTTTATGTGGGTTTTGTTATCTCTGTGTACAATCAGACTGCTTTTATCTGTGTTTGATACTGTGCTTGTTCCTTGATAAGACTTGAGAACATAAACACCCTTCATAATAAACATCTGGGGCCTGAGGGAACAGCTGGAGCTGTGTCAGGAGAGCTTTAGGTTGGATTTTAGGGAAGGGTTCTTCCCCAGAGGTGCTGGCACTGCCCAGGCTGCCCAGGGAATGGGCACAGCCCCGAGGCTGCCAGAGCTCCAGGAGCCTTTGGACAGGGTGGGATTGTTGGGGGTCTGGGCAGGGGCAGGGGCTGCACTGGGTGATCCTGGGGGTCCCTTTGTGTGATCTGCTCTGGGAAGGTGAATGGTGCAGAAAACCATTGCCAGGCAATTCCTGGTGCCACAGGGATGACAGCAGGGAAGCTGCAAGGACTAATGTCACGCACTGGCACGACTCTTGTAAGGACAGCTCCTTGTGTCACAGGGAAGTTTGGGAAGCACAAGGAATGCCCTCTCTCTTCACTGTCATCCCTTTTCCTTGTAGAGACAGCTGGGAAATCTCCTGGTTGAAGGAATACAGTCAGACCAATAAAGGCTCAGTGATAAGGGCCCTGTCCTGCAGATGATTGTGTCCTTCCAGTGTTCTTTAGCCCTCTGCCATCACCATTCAGGGCTGTGATCCATACTTCTGGGCAGGATGTCACTTTGTGTCTGCTCTGACTTCTGCTTTTGTTGCTCCTGGCAGGGCTCCCTCAGGGCAGAGCTGCAGTGCCAGGAGCTGCTGGGGCACAGAGGAGCCCAGGGCACGGCCACTGTCCCCAGGCCTGGCTCAAAGGCAGACAGGGCTTGCAGAGACCAGGATCAGCAGTGGGGAGGGTGGAACCAGGGCGAGAGGCTGAGCAGCAGCTCTCTCTTGGCTGCTGTCCTCTCCTGATCTGCCGTGCACAGTGAACCTCTCCTACCTGGTGTGTGCAGGCAGCAGGAGCTCTGGCTCTGTGTTCCAGGGAAATCAGAGCGGAACAGGCAGCGAGAGGGAAATTCAGTGCCTGATTGTGGCTTTTCATTTTGAGCCATGCCATCAACCACTCTCAGTGTAAGCCTTGTACCAGCTCTGCTTTCCATGACAAAATTAAAGCCATCAGTTACAGGAGGTTGAGGGTGGCTTGGCTTCAAGTGTTCCTTTCTCCTCTCTTAAAATTTGATGGAGGGGAAGCTTTGCCCGCTTTTCTTTTCCCAGAGGACCTTCTGGGCTGCGGGGAGAGCTGCCAGACCCACAGCTCCAGGAGGGAGCCGAGGCCGGAGTTGTGGCCTCAGTGGCTGCGTGGTCAGGACTGCACTGAGTGCTCCCAGAAGCCTTTATGAAGATGGTGGATGTGGTTTGGTGAGGGTGTCGTGACCAAGTGTTGAGATGCTGTTCCAGGGACTGAAATTCCAGATTTCCTATGGCACAGGCACTCATTCTCTCACTTTGGCTCGGTGAGGGAGTTCTCAGCTCTGTGGCTGCCACCATCCTGTCCTCCCTGACCTCCTAGACTGATGCTGCTGTTCCAGGCTGTATTTTTTCCTCCACTTCAGGCTCTTGCAGTGGAGCACTGCACTGAATCTGGAGTCTCTGCTGTGCTGTCCCCCAGGATTTGGACCTTCCAGTGGTGTGAGCACCGCTGTGTCCCGCTGGGGGATGCAGCTCCTTCCCCTGGGGGGCTCTGAGCAGGAGGGTGGCTGAGCGGGGTGCTGTGGGCTCAGACTGAGTGTTGCTGTTCCTCTCTCTGCAGAGATCATCGATGACCTGACGAGCCTGGTGGAGAGCACGGACGGCCGGCTGCGCAGCCAGACCCGCCACGTCAAGGTGGTGGAGAGGAAATCGACGTCGTGCGGTAGGGAACGCAGCACAGCCTCCCCCCCGGGCTGCCCTGGGGCTGGGCCACGCTGGGCAGAGCTGCAGAGCTGCAGGGGGCTGCTAAAAGGATCTCCTCCGTGGATCCACCTGGGCAGCACAGGATGAACCAAAGTGCTCCCAAAATGCACGAGCGCTCCCTGGGCTCAGCTCTGCTCCATGTGCAGATTGCAGTTCAGTGTCCAATCCCAGCTTTGGGCCATGCTTGTTTTCCCTCTCCAGCCCACGCTGTTTGTGCTCTTGGGCCTGAAACTTGTATGGATTGTCCTTGGTCCCCAGCAGGAGCAGGAATTGTTCTGTCTCCCTGCTCTGTGCACAGCTCACCATCCCGTACTGTGAAGCTCAGACCTGCTCACTAAAGCAGCACAGAACCTGAAAAATAGAAAAGCTGAAACTTAAGGCATCACCAGGGCAGTTCTTCACTGATGATGTGCAGTTATTAACTGTTGCTAATTGCTGTGCAATGCTCCCCCCCGAGGAGAGCTTCTTTCACAGGCACAAACCCCAGCACTCCAAACATCTCCAGCAGCTCTGCCTGGCTGTGCTGAAGGGCTGCTGCAGTTAATTCCCTTGAGCCATTTGACTGCAGCGTTGCACAATGTCCTGATTGTAAGAAATGGTTTGAAATTAGAGCGGTGCATGTTAATTAGCTTTACACAAACTTGCTACCAGCTCTCACAAAGCTGGCGCAGCAGGGAGCAGGGCCACAGGAGGTGTCCTGCAGGAATGAGCTCCTAGCCCAGCAGCACTCAGAGCCTGCCAGGCATGAAATCCTTCCTGGTGACTCCTGCAGGGATGTGCAAGCTGCTCAGGCTAAGCTGGCCTCCCTGTGCAGAGAGCCAAGGACAGCCAGCCACAGGCAGCGTGGGATGGTGGCAGAAGATGCCTTTGTGTGGGGAGAGGGATGGCTGAGGGATGAAGTCCCTGGGGAGGTGGTGGCACTTCAGTTCTGGTTCTGGTCTCCCTGGGTTTTACTGTGCTAGAAGATTCACAGTGCTCTACAGAATCTTGACTTGCAGTCAGAAGTTGTTGGAATTGGGGTTGTGTAGTTCAGTAAAGAGAAAGGCAAGGGCTGACGGGGTCACAGCCTGGCTGTGGCTGGTGGGAGGTTTCTCTCTGTGCAGTGAGGTTTCTCTCTGTGCAGTAAGGTTTCTGTGCAGTGAGGTTTCACTCTGTGCAATGAGGTTTCTATGCAGTGAGGTTTCTCTCTGTGCAGTGAGGTTTCTCTCTGTGCAATGAGGTTTCTGTGCAGTGAGGTTTCTCTCTGTGCAATGAGGTTTCACTCTGTGCAATGAGGTTTCTGTGCAGTGAGGTTTCTCTCTGTGCAATGAGGTTTCACTCTGTGCAGTGAGGTTTCTGTGCAGTGAGGTTTCTCTCTGTGGAGTGAGGCTCTGCCTGCAGAGCTCCCCAGCTTAGCCTGGCAATGAAGCATCTTTCCAGCACTGACAATTCCAGGGATTTATTTGGTTCCCCATCCGTGGTAAGGTTTTGACAGTAAAGAGAAAGGCAAGGGCTGACGGGCTCTGCAATGAGGTTTCTCTGCAGGGAGGTTTCTCTCTGTGCAGTGAGGTTTCTCTCTGTGCAGTGAGGTTTCTGTGCAGTGAGGTTTCTCTCTGTGCAGTGAGGTTTCTGTGCAGTGAGGTTTCTCTCTGTGCAGTGAGGCTCTGCCTGCAGAGCTCCCCAGCTTAGCCTGGCAATGAAGCATCTTTCCAGCACTGACAATTCCAGGGATTTATTTGGTTCCCCATCCGTGGTAAGGTTTTGAAAGCTTGGTTGATGGAGGTTGATGAAAACCTGTGGCTTCTTCTGGAGGTTAAAGTTGACTTGTCAGAGTCATTTGTCTCCGAGTTCTCCCTCCCAACTGCAGATGGAATTAAAGGCGTGACTGCGGAGTTCATGACTGACTCTTTTATTTTACATCTTGAATGTTGATGCAAGATGGATTTAATTTAAAACTAAGTGCACTTGAATGATGCTGAGCACCCCTGTGTGCCTTTGGAGTCTCCCCTTAATTCCTGTGGCTTTGTTTTCCTCACGAGTCCGGGGCAGCTCAGCTTGATGGGGGGTGGGCAGGCGGTCAGTCCTGTGGGGTCCAGGAGGGATTTCTCCCCATTTTTAGGCTCCTCGTGCAAGTGCAGCCCCAGACATGTTGCATGATGGTGAGGCTGTCTCTCTAACTGGGCAAGCCCATCCTGGCTGCCTGGGGAATCTCAGAGGAGGAGGAGGAGGATGGGAGAAGGAAGGCTGGGAGGATCCTGGCCTGGATTCCATGGGGGTGACCTCTCTCTCTTTGCACATTGAAAAACATTTGGCTTTGGTGAGAAGTGCTGCCTCTGGTGCCTGTCCCCTCTGCTCCCTAGGTCTTCCTGTGTTTGCATAACAATTTGGGCACAAGTCAACCCCAGATTGCCTCAGCTGCTTCCTCTGCCCAGGGGCGAGTCCGGGGCAGCTCAGCTCGATGGGGGGGGGGCAGGCGGTCAGTCCTGTGGGGTCCAGGAGGGATTTCTCCCCATTTTTAGGCTCCTCGTGCAAGTGCAGCCCCAGACATGTTGCATGATGGTGAGGCTGTCTCTCTAACTGGGCAAGCCCATCCTGGCTGCCTGGGGAATCTCAGAGGAGGAGGAGGAGGATGGGAGAAGGAAGGCTGGGAGGATCCTGGCCTGGATTCCACGGGGGTGGCCTCTCTCACCCTTTGCACATTGAAAAACATTTGGCTTTGGTGAGAAGTGCTGCCTCCGGTGCCTGTCCCCTCTGCTCCCTAGGTCTTCCTGTGTTTGCATAACAATTTGGGCACAAGTCAACCCCAGATTGCCTCAGCTGCTTCCTCTGCCCAGGGGCAGCAGTGCTGAGCACACAGGGTTCAGCAGCAGTGCTCCCATCCCCTTCCAGCCTCACCCTGGCACTGGGATGAGCTGTGCCCTGGGGTCAGAAATACCCTCCCTGTACATTGGTGAGCCCTGGGGTGAGCCCAGGCAGCAGGAAAACTGTCAGAGTGCCTGTGTGTCATTAGCAGGTCAGAACCTCAGGAACTCTTTGGGCTTGGTGTCTCACTTTGGATTAGAGCAGGGTGAAGTGCTCAGCCCCCCTCCTTGCTCCCCTGTCCTTGCTCAGAGCCAGTCTCCCCTCTGTTCCAGCCTCTGGCTGGTAATGTGTTTCCCCCTCCTTTTTGAAATCGTGATGTCTTCTTATTGTGCTGCTGAGTGCTGTGCTGGAGCCACGGGCTGTGGGTACAAGCAGAGCACACTGGCTGCAATAATGGAATAATCCCTGTTTTACAAGCAGGAATGTAATGCATTAATGGGTGTGTCTTTGTTAGCAGCCAGTATAATCATAAAATCAAAGTATTGCTGGTGAAGCCCAACTTCAATCAATATTTCAACATCTCCCTCTCATGCAAACCTCGTTTCCAGCTGTGGGGGCTGCTCCCAGTGCCTTGGGGCCGTGCCCTTGGCACTGCCAGCCTGGCACAGCCTGGCACAGCCCCTCAGGTTGTGCTGGGGCTGTTCCACTCACAGCCTGCTTGCAGTGCCACTCCTCTGGCTGCCCAGGGCTGCTGCCAGTGCCAGCCCTGGCCGTGCCCAGGGAAGGCTGGCCTGTCCCCCAGGGCCTCGGGCAGCCCCACCCTGGTGGCACTGGGCACTCCCAGGGATTGCAGCGGAAGGAGAGCTGCGGGACGGGGTCCAGCCTGCTGCATTTGTGAAATGATTGTTGAAAATCATCCCTCATCCGCAGGCACATGTTCACACGCTGCCTGGCATTGTTTCCTCCCTCCCCAGTGAGTGCTGGGACATACAAGTCTCAGACCTCAGGAAGAGGCACTGAGCTGCCAGCAGGTGCTCACACAGCTCACACGGGCAGGTGCCAGGCTGCCCGGGCAGCTCTGCTCCAGGAATGCCTGCTGCACAGCCCTCACCTCCCAGCCCCACACTGCTGCTCCTGGGCTGCTTTCTCCTCTCTCCCCCAGTCTGGGCACCTGTAGGGCTTTCTGCACAGTAACACCAACCATTTCTCAATAAATGCTTCTATTAGAAACTTTAACCCTTAGAACGTTCTCTTAAAACTGCATTTAAAAATTTGCAAATAAATTGAAGTGTAATTAATGCAGACATGCTGAGGGAAACAGGGGTTTGGTGCTCTGGGGTAACTTTGCCCCATCCCTGAGTCTTGCAGTGGGATTTTTTGTTTGGTTATTTCCCCAAAGACCACGAGCAGGCAGCTCCCTGCAGGCAGCATGGTTAGGCCAGGCTTTGGCTGTGATCAGAGCATCCTCAGGTGCTTGTGTCTGGATTTGCCAAGGGGATTTTGGTGGCTCAGGCACGGCTGGCAGCCCTGCTGGCAGAGGTGACCTGTGCAGAGGTGGCTGCACCTCAGCTGTGCCATGTGTGACTCAGAACGGCTCTTCGGGTCCTGCTGAAGAAGGAATTTTGGGGAGGGGAGCTGGGCACTGCTGGTTCTGCTCCTGGTCCCACCCCAGTCACCCTCTGGTGTTCCCCTGCAGCCAGGGAGAAAAGCTGGCTCTGCAACCCAGAAAACCATGACTTTGTCACAGTAAAAACAAGGAAAAAAAGGAAAAAGAGAAAAAAAAGAGGGAGCTTTTATTTCTGATGGATGGGCCCGTGTCCATCCCCTCCCAGGCAGCCTGAGGGCAGCAGATCACCTTCTCCCTGTGCATCCTTCAGATAAAGGAGCAGGAGGAGCGAGTCCCGTGCCGGGGCAGGAGCGGTGTCCCGGGGAGCACAGAGCGTCTGTCCGTCCCGTCTGCTCCTGTTCCACAAGGTGGCAATGCAATCCATGTCCTCGCCCAGCCCCAGGTGAGGGCTGGGCTCCTTTGCTCCCTGCCCAGGGAGGGCTGGCTGCCAAAGGCAGGCTGCAAACTGCACCAGGTTAATCTCTGCCAGCTGGGTGACTTCTGGTAATCTTGCCAAAACACCTGAATTGAAACCAGGGCTTTGCTAAACCCTTTAACTGGAGCTTTTGGAA